CTCCACTTCTAATTCTAGTTCTCCCACTATTTCCACCACATCAGTTAACTTTCTCCACTGAAGTCTTAAACACCTGAAAGTCATCCACAAGGATTGGAATCCACTTCTTCCAAACTCCTGTTAATGTTGATATTTTGACCTCTTCAAATTAATCACAAATGTTCCTAATGGCATCTAGAATCCTGAAACCTTTACAGAAGACTTTCAATATTCCTTTGCTCGGATCCATTAGAGGAATTGTTATTCTGTGGCAGCTATAGCCTTACAAAAAGCATTTTTTAAAAAGATTTTATTTATTTGTTTTACAGAGAGAGCACAAATAGGCAGAGCAGCAGGCAGAGGGAGAGGGAGAAGCAGACTCTACACTGAGCAGGGAGCCCGACTCAGGATTTGATCCCAGAACTCTGGGATCATGGCCTCAGCGGAAGGCAGAGGTTAAGCCAACTGAGCCACCCAGGTGCCCCCCAAAAGTATTTCTTAAGTATTAAGACTGCAACATCTAAATGACAGCTTGCATATGGGCTGCAGAATGGATGTTGTGTTAGCAGGCATGAAAACACCATTAATGTCATTGTACATCTCTATCAGAGTTCTTGGCTGACCAGGTACCTTTTCAATAAGCAATCATATATTGAAAGGAATCTTTTCTTTGAACAGTAGGTCTCAATAGTGGGCTTAAAATATTCAGTAAACCATGTCATAAACAGATGTGCTATCATCCAGGTGCTGTTTTTCCGTTTATAGAGCACTTACTGGGCCCTTAAGGGCCCTAGGATTTTCAGAATGGTAAATGAGCTCTGGCTTCAACTTCAAGTCATCAGCTGCATTAGCCCATAATGAAAGAGTCATCCTGCCCTTTGAAGCTTTGAAACTAGGCATTGACTTCTCCCCTCTAGCTAGATGGCATCTTCCAACATAAAGCTGTCTTGTCTCCTTTGAAAATCTGTTGTTTAGTGTAGACACTTCCTGAATTATCTTAGCTAGATCTTCTGGATAAGTTGCTGCAACTTCTCATCAGCACTTAAGGCTTCTTGCACTTTGATGTTATGAGGATGGTTTCTTTCCTTAAATTGCATGAACCAACCACTGTTAGCTTCAAACTCTCTGCAGCTTCCTCACCTCTCAGCCTTCATAGAATTGAAGAGAGTTAGGGCCTTGCTCAGAATTAGGCTTTGGCTTAGGAGAATATTGTGGCTGGTTTCATCTTCTATCTGGATCATTCAAACTTTGTCCATATCAGCAATAAGGCTGTTCTGCTTTCTTATCATTCATGTGGTCACTGGAGTAGCATTTTTAATTTCCTTCAAGAATGCTTCCTTTACATTCATAACTTGCTAACTGTTTGGCATGAGAGTCCTAGCTTTTAGCTTATCTCAACTTTCAACTTGCCTTGCTCACTAAGCTTACTCATTTGTAGCTTTTGATTTAAAGCAAGAGAACAGGTCTCTTCCATTCTCATGAACATTTAGAGACAACTGTAGAGTTATTGACTGGCCTAATTTCAATATTGTTGTGTCTCAGCAAATAGGGAGGCCAGAGGAGAGGGAGAGAGATGGAGGAATAGCTGGTCACTTCATATGGACATGACTTGGGACACCCCAAAGCAACATAATAGTACGTCAAAGATCACTGATAACAGATCACCATAACAAATATAATAATGAAAAAGTTTGAAATTTTGGGAGAATTGTGAAAATGTGACACAGAGATACAAAGTGTGTAAATGCTTTTGGAAAAAGCATTTGGTGTCAATAGACTTGCTCAATTTGGGTTGCCACTAACCTTCAATTTTAAAAAATAAACTATCTGTGATGTGCAATAAAATGAGGTCTGCTTGTGCAGTATTTGGTGTTGATTGCTCAGCTCATCAAAATGATTGTTCCAATGGTGTAGATCTCTTTTTAGTTTCCCCTCCTCTTTTAGATTGAGTTTGTTTTGATCAGATTCTGTTCTCCCTTCTCCTAATTAGAATTTTGAAGGACCGAGTCTTACTTATCTCTGCAGTCTCAATTGTGCAGCCTGATGTCTAGCACAGAAGTTGATGCTTTGTCATCCATTCATGATATGAACATATTTATATGCAGTAAACATTCAATAAACAGAAACTTTATATCTCTTATGGGCTGGGCACCATGCTGGGGATAGAATAGTTCATATAGTTATATGCCATACTTACAATTTAGTGAGAGACAATGACACGTCAGTGTGATAAGCCCTGCCCATGTGTGAGTGCAGAGTGCTGTGGGAACACCTGTTTTGGTCAAAAGCTGACGATTTCCAGAGAAAGTGCTTTTTAAGCTGGGACCTCAAGGAAGAGATAAACAGGGTAAAGGATGGGAACTGGTAGAAAAGGAAAGGCCTTCCTAGCAGAAAGAAAGAAAAAAAAAAAAGACACCTGGATCTGCAGTATGTTTAGTTTGGAGTTTGGTCAGATTGTTTGGTTATGGGAGGGAGTGAGAGAGGAATATGAGGAGAGAAAGGATTAAGGAAAAATATTCAATCAACATTGAAGGAATTATTTTAAGAAGCAATACAGCACACAGTGCAATTCATTAAGAATTTCTAAGATGATTCATTTAGAGTATGAATTTTAGACCATTTATCTTATAAGCATATTTTATGTAATTAAAAAATTAGAATGGATTTTAACCTGATAATATTGGAGACCTCATATTCATAAATACATATGCATATGTATTATATGTCCACTTCATTGAGATTCTATGGACTGTACCATACTTATCATTAGGGATATTTCCCTCATGATAAATGGGCTTCATTAGTAGTGGTTTGAGGCATTATTATTTATTCATCTATAAAGGTTATAAAGCTCCTATTAATTCATTTTCCAGAACTATTATTTTAAATTCCAAATACTTTGTGCTGTTAGCTTTTAAATGAATAAGGTGAAAACCAATTCTACTTCTTAATTTGATCAATTTATAAATTGGGGGGGCAATAGGCTTATATAAGAGGATTGCATGAGGATGTATACTGTAAACCCAGTTTTAAGTCTCAGTCTTGGCAGATAGGTGTTGTGTTCCTTCATTGGTTCTTTCAGTCTCAGGTAACTTCAAAATTGATATAGCATTTTCTGTGGATGTATCTTATGAGGATCAATTAATTAATGTTATTTGTAATGCTCCGAAGAATAATGTATTATTTATAAAAATTTGAGGTTAGTACTGTTATTTCAAATCCAGTGCTTTTTTTTTTAATGGGTTTAGAGAAGAAATCGTAAGCAGGCATATAGAATTAAAAAAAATAAAGACTAGACATTATTTTATCTTTTAGTGGTTAAAGTTCATCTGTAATATTGTTCTAGTCATTGAAACAAACTACTTTGTGCCACAGTATACTCTTTCACTTTTGTACATACAATCAATGATTCTTTATGGCTTTGAACACAAAAAGATGCCCCAGGTGGATAGCCACAAGAAGGGAGATTTCTCATCTGCACTGTTATCCTAGGTAACTTATTTATTTATTTATTTATTTATTTATTTTTTAAGAGAGGGAGGGACAAAGGGAGAGGGAAAGGGAGAATCTTAAATCAGCCATCCTGGGGCTAGGACTATATCTCAGGACTCTGAGATAATGACCCTGAGATCATGATCTGAGCTGAAATCAAAGTGTCTGGTGGTTAATAGATTGAGCTTCTCAGACACCTCCATCCTAACTCTTTACCACACATAATGCTGATCTTGCAGACTGTACCTGTGCTATGTACAGGTGGAGAGGGCGAGCTTAAATTCATATTAATTTTCATTTGTGGCTTGACTCTTGGGGTTAGAAGACTAATAAAAACAAGCCATTTCTCTTGCCCAGTGAGTTGAAAGGAAGATGGAGAGATTAGATGAAGGCACTGAACGGGAATGGAAAGTAGGAACAGAGAGCAAGTTTCCTCCCTGGTTGCGTCTTTCCCTCCACAAACATTTATTAAGCATTTACTATGAATCAAATAATGAAAAGATAAAAGAAGAAAACAGTTACGTTATGTACAATCCTTTATTAGTTTTGGAGCCGAAATCAGATTTTCCTAGGTTCTTCAGTTATACGTAACGCATGCAGTTAAATATGCAATCATGACCATTGATTGCAATAGAGGTTAGGGCATTTCGCCCTTTGCTTCAAAAACTATGGTAAAAGTGCCGGGTAGTCTGCAATCACGACTCCCACGCCTACATTTGTAGTAATGTCAGATTAGGAGCCTCGCATTTTTATTATAATACAGACTTTCCTACCTTCCCCCTGACGCCCACCACTCCCTGCTCCACTTCCCACCTTAACGCAAGCGTACCCCCACTTCCCCTAAAAACACCCCCTTCCCTCCCCCACCAAACTAATTTTACTGGGCGAACACTGGCGAGGACGGTAAGAAAGGCAGGCAAAGAAGACGGACGAGAAGGAGGGAGGGAGGGACGGAGGGATCGATGGATGGAAGGAATGGTATGAATGAAGGAGAGAGGCTGTCCTTTTCCCCCAGTGTTTTCGGTTTCCTCCGCTCTCCCCGCCGGCTGCGAAGCAGCATCTCCTCCCAGCTCGGACCCCGCCCCGCCCCCTAGCGTCGGAGCCCCGCAGCCAGCGGCTGGCGCCTATCTCTTTAAATGACAGCTGTGGCTCGGGTCCCAGTCCGGAGCTTGACGTCAGTGCCGCCTCCCCGGCTGCGAGGAGTAGTTAGCGCCACCGTCCGCGCTCGGGGCTGGCTGAGCGCTAGCAAGCTGCTGGGGCGGCGAGTTTTCTTTGCTCCGGCCCCTCCTCCCGCCCTCCCCGCGGGGAGCCCAGCGGCTGCCTAAGAGCCGCTCGCAAGTCTCTCTCACACTTCCCCGCCGTCACCCCAAAGGAGCAGCCTCTCCTCCCCGCGCCTCCACCGCCGCCGCGGCGCCCGCGGAGCTCTTCTCCCGCGCTTCGCTCCCCCGATGGAGCCCGGGCGCCGCTGCCGCCGCCGCTGCCCCGAGCCCTGAACGGGGACGCCCCGGCCGAAGGAACGTGCCGCCCGGCCCGAGGGCGCACCAGGCACACGCCAAGGCCGAGGGCTGCCGAGGGTGGAAGGCGCGGGCTTCAGGAAGGAGAAAGTGCTGCTCTCCCGGGTCACTTGGCCGGTGGCGGGGGGACCATGGCTTTGAAGGACACGGGCAGTGGCGGCAGCACCATCCTGCCCATTAGCGAGATGGTCTCCTCGTCCAGCTCGCCGGGCGCGTCTGCGGCCGCCGCCCCGGGGCCCTGTTTGCCCTCGCCCTTCCCCGAGGTAGTGGAGCTCAATGTGGGAGGCCAGGTCTATGTGACCAAGCACTCGACGCTGCTCAGCGTCCCGGACAGCACTCTGGCCAGTATGTTCTCGCCCTCCAGCCCCCGGGGCGGCGCCCGACGCCGCGGAGAGCTGCCCAGGGACAGCCGAGCGCGCTTCTTCATCGACCGGGACGGCTTCCTCTTCAGGTACGTGCTGGATTATCTGCGGGACAAGCAGCTCGCGCTGCCCGAGCACTTCCCCGAGAAGGAGCGGCTCCTGCGCGAGGCCGAGTACTTCCAGCTCACCGACCTGGTCAAGCTGCTGTCGCCCAAGGTCACCAAGCAGAACTCACTCAACGACGAGGGCTGCCAGAGCGACCTGGAGGACAACGTCTCCCAGGGCAGCAGCGACGCGCTCCTGCTGCGTGGAGCGGCCGCAGCCGCGCCCTCGGGCCCGGGAGCGCACGGCGCGGGCGGCGGCGGCGCGCCGGACAAGCGCTCGGGCTTCCTCACGCTCGGCTACCGCGGCTCCTACACCACGGTGCGAGACAACCAGGCGGACGCCAAGTTCCGGCGTGTGGCGCGCATCATGGTGTGCGGGCGCATCGCGCTGGCCAAGGAGGTCTTCGGGGACACGCTCAACGAGAGCCGCGACCCCGACCGGCCGCCCGAGAAGTACACGTCCCGCTTCTACCTCAAGTTCACCTACTTGGAGCAGGCGTTCGATCGCCTGTCGGAGGCTGGCTTCCACATGGTGGCGTGTAACTCCTCGGGCACCGCCGCCTTCGTCAACCAGTACCGCGACGACAAGATCTGGAGCAGCTACACCGAGTACATATTTTTCCGTAAGTTCCCGGTCTCCCCGCCCCTTCGCCGACCGGCGGTGGGGTTTGAGACCGGCCGGAACCCGGACGGGGCCGGTGTCCCGGGCCGGGGCTGGTTAACCAGTAAATGCGGGGGGCTTTCCCTGTTCGTCCCCGTCACGCTGTAGACACAGTTTACGGCTACGTCCCTGGCGATCTGCCTTTCGATTCCCGTCTTCTTCAACTCGGGAGCAAGCGTTTCCCAGCCAGTCCTCTTTCTTAACTTCATTGCTTTTGCGCTCTCACCCTGCGGTGCTCTTGGAGGCGCTGGGCTCCCTTCTGCGGAGGGCGGGGGAAAGACGCGACCCCAGAGCGGGGCGCACTAGGTCCTCTTCTCTCTGCTTCACGGAATTCCTGCGGGTTAACTTATGTGGGTCTCGGTGGTGTCCCCACAGAGGGCAGTTTGGCATCGAGGCATTACGGCGCACGCCGGGATCACCTCCAGTTGGTGCGGGTCTGGCGCAGGAGCTTACAATTACGGGTGTTCTCGGCAGGGGGCAAGGAGGGAAGGGACCTCCGTGCTTCCTGAGCTCCTCCAGGGGCTGGAGCATGAGAGCTCCAGCTCTCATGGTGGGAAGGAGGTGTCCATCCACTCAGAAACCTCAGACTTCCCTCCCCCACGCCCGTTGTCGGTAACTGCTGGGTGTTTTGAACAGCCGAAGGTGGAGGGAACTAGGATTTGGATGTCTTCTGCTGTCAGGGTTGGCGATTAGGAAGGGACGTTGTGCGTGCGCGCGCGTGTGGGTGTGTGTGTATGTGATTGTGTTTCCTTTCTGGGCACCTCAAGTGCAAAAGGGATATTGAGTCCACTTTTCCAGGGGGACTGAAATGCAATGATTTTCTGAAAATGAGAGAAGGACGGTGAGGATTTGGAAAGCATTTGGCAGGGTGCGTTTTGTAGTGCGCTTCGGGAGGGGGCTCTGTGGATCAAGTTCAAGGACTACACCAAATATCACGGGCGCTGGGGGGATGGAACCGGCACGGAAATCAGTGACGCTTATAAAAGGAGCAGGGCCACAACTAGAGAGCTATTTGGACAAATGAAAAGCCAGCTGGGATGGCAGCAGGAACATCGTTTGGCAAACGCTCGTTCTTTGGCAAGACACAGGAAGCTTCAAAACTTGCCTGTAGAGTTGGGGAGATTATCATTGACCGCTTATGATAGAAATAGACCAGCTTTAATTGTATCTGTTTCTTTTGGTAATTCACTTACTGTTTGGGAACTACCAATTTATTGTACTTTATTTTGACTGGAGAAGTGGAAAAGACTTTTTTTAAAAAAAAATTTTCTTTTTCCACAGGTGCAAGCTTGATTGGAAGGTGCTCATTGTATGTTCTAGTAACCTTGGAGATATGGTGACAAAACACAGCACACTGCGCATTAGTGTTAGATTGTCTTTTTTAGTAGTGCTGGATTTCCTGTGAAAACGATTTCACAGAGAAGCAAAGAAAGTGCAGGTTGTAGTGGTAGATAAAATCTAATTTTCTTAATTATATCAAAGTATTATTTGTTGTACAGTAAAAAGTTTGATAGAAAAGTTGCCTAAAGGAAGGTGATATTTTATTGTCTATATAAAACTGGGATCTCTTCAATATATACTAAGTAATTAAAACATTTTTTAGCATCACTGTTTACATTTTATCCTTTATCAATGGGACCTTTAACTAGCATTTCAGCTCTTAAACATGTGAGTCATTCAAATGTGGGTATACTCCATTTTAGAAGATGAGACTTCTTTTGACTCTTTTATGGCTAGAGGTTTTTGTTAGAAGATATGAGCATAAGTGCTCAGTGGTTAAGATTCTTGCATTTTGGAATCTTTCACAGTGTTGGTCTTTCTTTTTCCCCTAGAAAGTTGTGGACTTGACTTTGATTTTGAGGAGAACATAGGTTGTCTCTAAATTATGAAAACATGCCCTTAAAATAGTTTATTGCAGTGGGAAACTCAGGCAATGTAACAAGGTAAATTGAGAGATATTTGGAATTTAGGATATTTAACTTCTGGAGCCAGAAGAAGTGTTAAATAAAATAAAATATTTCTATTACAAATAACTATGTGGAGAATACTCACATAACTAATGAGCTCTGAGCGTCATTCATAAAAGTCCTAGAAATGTAAGTGCTACAGCCTTCTTCATTGATTATTCTGTGGGGAAAGTACATGGTTCCAGGTTAAATAATGCTCTTCTGAAGTGGTATTCTAGTCATTGACTAACCAAATGTAATATAAAACCAATTTGTGATGTAAAATTTATCTTGAATCCTATTGTATATGCATTTATTTTATATTTTATATAGATTATAGTGTATTTTCACAGATTATTTTACACAGGATTTCTTTTAATATTGGTGAGTGAAAATATACTGTAAAATTTTTATATTTCCATTCTCTTCAGCTTAGACAATGATGTAAGTATACAGAGTATACTTATTTTGTTTAGCAGTCTCTAAGAAAACTACCAGTATTATTCATAAAAACAAAATTAATGGATGAACTTGTTTGTCCACTATGTTTTAGAGATAGAAGGTGGCCTTATTAATTTTTATTTTCCCTTTAGCACAGTTTTTTCAACAAATACTTATTTTAGTGTATAACATGTATCAGTCATTTTAACACCTTTTAAAAATCAGGCTATGTGTGAAATTAGCAGCATGAAGATTCTCTGAAAACTACAGAATTGTAGTTTATACACTGGAATGCCAGTTTCAACTCCTTACTCCCACTCCCCTTTTTACCCCCGAGTTTCTATTCAGATGGGAAGAGAGTAGCAAATGGTTCAGTAATCTTAAACACTGCCATTTGCCAAATGTGTGATCTTGGTTAAATTATTTATTTTTTCTGAGTCTCCACTCCCTTACCTGTATAATGGGGGTTATTATAGTATCAATTAAAAAGTATTTTATTTATTTGTCAGAGAGAGAGAGAGCACAAGCTGGGAGAGCTGCAGGCAAAGGGAGAAGCAGGCTCCCTACTGAGTGAGGATCCCAACGGAGAACTAGATCCCAGGATCCTGGGACCATGACCCCAGTCAAAGGCAGACACCTAACCAATTGAGCCACCCAGGCGTCCCTATAGTACCAGTTTCATAGGATATGAGAATACATGTAAAATCCTTAGACCAGGGCTTGACATATGATAAAAGCTTAACAAATGTTAGCAGTTACAATTAATTGTTAGCCATATTATACAAAGTTTAATATTCTTGTCAATATTACATTTTAACTTTGTTATATACCAAATATAATCAATTTACTTATAAAGTTAATTAGAAAATTATTTTGCAATTAAATGATAACATAATAACTTTCAAAAATTTGACACAACCAATTTAATAACAAGTTCATTCTTGGAACTTGAATTTTTCAGGCCAAGTTCAAGTCACCTGGGCTTGCCAGTCTTTCTACAGTTAGTTTTTTGGATCAACTCCAATAGAACTCTTTTCTGATTCAGGGCCAAGAAGTGTTTTAATGCTCTCTACTAGGACGTGAAAGTTTGGTAATATTTTCTGACAAACACTGAGCTAGATTCATTATCTCCTTAAGTGCTTGTATCCAAGTCATTGGGTTCCAATGCTCAAGGTTATATAGAGGCTATTAAACATTTAATACTAACTTCATCTGGCTGGATGGACACTTTTATCTATTCTCAGTGTTAACTCATTATTTTACCAAGTCTTTTAGACTCTGCGACCTATACTAATGATATTACCATTCTATATTACTCTTTTAATACTGAAAATTGTCCTTTCTTGAAGGAAAGTAGAGTGATTTTTATGCTTTTTGTTTTTTTGGGTAGAGGTTGTCTGTTAGGTATGCTTGTCGCTGTTTCTAGCTCTGTCTAGAAGACAAAGCATTTTATGTTGGCATTGTACTACATCAAAAATAAATAGTTATAGGCTTGGCATGAGATATGTAGACTACCCATAGTTAGAATAAACAGTATATATATATATATATATATATATATATATATCCTTTATTTCTCACAATCAGTGTGTTTACAGAATAGTAGTACTGCTCTTATCTTAAAGTACTTCCAGTATTGTACTCCATGTGTTGGTTGAGTAACATTTGGTATAAAAGTACATACTTCTCTAGGATGCACTTGATATTATTTACGTTTAGTATACATTTTTTGTTGTGATCTATGAGAGTGCCAGATCTAGGAATTAATGCCATTACAGAACTGAAGTTTGAATTCTGATTTGTCTTAATGGATTTTTATATCTGGTCTTTCAAATCTATTCTGATTTATTTGACTGTGTTGGGAGGAAGATAGCTAGTTGAGTTGAAAATATTCAAATAACTTTTCAGTCTTATGTTAGCAGGCCAGTTGTATTCAAAGCTTTCTAAAGAACATCTTTAGAAAGTTATTCTATTTAGATGTATACCTTTAAAATTTTATATTATTTTTTAGTCTAAAAGTGCTTCTACTTTTATCATCAAATGTTATATGGAAAAGAATTTTGTTAATCATTTTTTTTAAGATGGTTCTTTTCCTTCTAAAGACTTACTAGTTATTTTTGTAATTCCAATGTGAAAATTTCTTTTGCAACCACATGACAGAATGACTTTTGAGTCAGTGGAGAACAAGTAAAAGGAACAGATAACTTTTTAAACACCAGCATCCTGATTTCATGCAAATAAGTGAAGTAATAAAGTGGACAGAAAATGACAAAAAACTTGGGGTGAAAAGTTTGGAGGCTGTGCTTTGTCACTGGGTTCTGTTTAAGGGCTTAAACTTTTATGTCTGGCATAGTACAGTCTCTAAACTTGATCTATATATATATTTTTTAAAGATTTATTTATTGGGGGGGAGGGGCAGAAAGACAGGAAAGGAAAGAGGGAATCTTCAGGGGACTCTGCTCTGAGCACTGAGCCCCACACCTGGGCTTGATCTCAAGACCCTCAGATCATGACCTGAACTTAAATCAAGAGCCTGATGCTCAACCGACTGAGCCACCCAGATGCCCATAGACTT